GGCCTTCAAGCACAGAGTTTTGTAGGATACTAGAAAATGCCCCTCAAGTGGATGACCTAAGTTTTATCATCCATGGGAGGTGTAGGATGAAGATGGTCTCTCTCACACAACCCCGCAATCAAATACAAGAAATCTCCCGTGTCCCCAACACACCTAATACAATGGGAATTGTATAGATGCACTAGTTCGGCGAAGAGACGGTGATACAAGTGTAGTATGTATAGTAGATATAGGTTTTTGTAATCCAAAAATATAAAAACAGCATGGTAGCAAGTGACAAAAGTGAGCACAAACATATTGCAATGCTTGAAAACAAGGCCTAGGTTCATACTTTCACTAGTGCAACCTCTCAACAGTGCTAACATAATTGAATCATATAACAATCCCTCAACATGCGACAAAGAATCACTCCAAAGTTCTTATTTAGCGGAGAACATAAGATGGAATAGTTGTAGGGTACGAAACCACCACAAAGTTATCTTTTCCGATCAATCTATTGAGCCATCTATGTAAGTGTCATAAACAACCCTAGAGTTCATACTAAAATAATATCATATGATACACATCAACAAACTCTAATGTCACCTAGATACTCCAATGCCATCACATGTATTCATGAGTTGATTATTCAATATGCATCAAACAACTTTAGATTCCCAATATTGAATCCAACACAAAGAACTTCAAAGAGTACCTCAAAGTTTCTACCGGAGAAAGTAGGACGAAAACGTGCATCAACGTGTATGCCTAGATTACCCCAATGTCACCACGGGAGTCCGCAAGTTTATTGCCAAAATATATATCAAGTGAATCTATAAAAAACTCCATTGTCACCACGGGTATCCACATGCAAGACATACATCAAGTGTTCTCAAATCCAAAATATTCAATCCGCTAATAGTAAAACCTCAAAGGGAAAGACTCAATTCATCACAACAAGATTGTAACACCCCCAATGTCATGCTACAGTGACCTCACACTAATGGTGTCATGTACTCTAGTTTAATTAAGCCAAATTGCCACTTGATAAAAATCAAAGCCATTTTCAAATTTAAAATGAAGTCAAATAAATTATTTCTTCAAACATGAAAAATAAAATGTTAGTAATGTGGCAAATAATCCATAGACAATTATGGTAGATAAGTTAACTTTTTATAAAGTATTTAAGTTCCCTAAAATAATTACAACAGGGGACAAATCTTTATTAAAATGCCTTTTCTAATTTATGAAAAATTCCAAACATTTCATTTGCCTCCCAAATTTTTTTTGGCAGTGCCAAATATTGCAGGGCATTTATATAGACAAGTTCTTTATTTTTGAAAAATCATTTGATGGCTTAAATAGATACAAAATTGAGGGAAAATGCAAAACAGAAATAAAAAAAGAAAAGGAGAAAAGGGCTAAGGAACTACCGTGCACCTGTTCTACTGCTACAGTAACAAGGCCCAGCCCACAGCCAGCCATCCCCTACCTTACTACAGAGAAGAGATTGTGGCTGCCATCCAAGCCGACGTGGCCACCGATGGCGCCGTGTCGGTCATCCCCCGGCTCCCTTGGACCATAAGACCGACCCCCGCGACCCCGGGACGAACCCTAGTCCCCCCTCTCTTCCTCCTCGCGCCGCTTCGCCCTCACGCACAAAACCGATGACGTCGCCGCCATATCCTCCTCCGTCCACGCGGCCACCTCCCTCCTAGCCGGCTCTAACTACGCCTAGAGCTCCACCGCACTCGACTGCTTTGACTGTGACCACCCGTTCGAGCTGGAGCGCTCTACACCGTCCCCTTTGTCTTCGTCTTCTTCTTCGGCAGTCGCACGACGTCGCCATCGACTCACCGCGCCTCGAACACCTCCGGCTGCCCCGAGTTGCTCCTCGTCATCGATGTGAGCACCTCCTCCATTCCCCACTGCCCCATGAAGCATTTGTGCCACGTAGCTCATTCGTCTGCACATCGTGGCGACGTCATCGTCCAAATCCATGCCGCCGCCGCCTTTGGTCATGGTCATTGCCAACGACCAGTGCACCTCCGCGATACCCGTCAACGATCGATGCGCGCTGTCGCCCGCATCCAGCAGCAAATCCTCGTGGACCAAATGTCCATTGGAAGACCAAACCCGAGCCCCCATTGCGTTCATGCCAGCGTCGCCGAGCCCCTGCTCGCGTTGTCGTGGTCCTGCCCCGCGCAGCCGCTCGCGCCCGACCGCTGCCCACACGCGCCTCCACAGCCGCCCGCCTCCGCTAGCCAAGGCCGACCGCCCTGCCTCCGTCGGCCACGGGCCCACGGCCGACCGCCCCGCCTGCGTCACCGCGCGCCCCGACACGCTGCAGCTGCGCCATGGATCGCCCCGCTCACGACCCGTGCCGCTCCCCGCATAGCCCGCTCCCCGGCTGGACCTTGGCCACCCCCCCTCTGCAGCTTGCCGTTGTGCCCCTCGCTGGTGCCATGGCCGCTCAGGTGCCCCTGGGTGCGCCCGTGTGCGTCCGGCCGCACCAGGTGGCCGGTTGGGCCACCGCCATGTGGGCCCATCCTTGCTTTTTTAAAATGAAGAAAAAAAGAAAGAAATGATTAGAGAAATAAAAAAAGGAAAAAAGAAATGTTAAATAAAAAGAAAGTTAGATGGACCGGTGGGCATGACAATGTGGGCCCTCTGGTCAGTTTGACCAGTCAACATGCCAACGTTGACTACCCAATGAGCAGTCAAAAAAATTATCCTTTTTATATAAAATAATTCATAAGTCAAATGGGAATAATTTATATATGAAAATTGCTCAGAAAAATCTATCAAATCCGAATATGCTATCCATTGATCGGTCACATGCCTCTAGCATGATGAACATGGAACATTCCCCTCCAGTTCGTATGTCTGATAAATTCCTGGAGCCGGAAAATTATTCCCGGATATTTTGCCGCTCCGTCTGTAACGAGTAGCACTGCATATTGTCATGTTATGCATTTTGATGCATCTATTTGATTTATCTTTATTGTTTCTTCCCCTTCTTCTCTCCGGTAGACATCGAGACTGATGCTGCTATTGTGTACGACTACGGTGTCGACGACCCCTCCTTCTCGGCAGAGCTTCCAGGCAAGCAAAACCCCCTTGATCATTCCGATACCACCTACTCTTTCCATCTACTCCTGGCATTAGAGTAGTGTTACTGTACGATATTATCGATTGATCCTATACTGTCGCATATAGCCTGTCATTGCTATTGTTGTTGATACTTTTACCTATTATCCTAAATGCTTAGTATAGGTATTCTAGTATTCCATCAATGGACCTACATCCTTGTCTGTCTGCCCTGCTATACAATTGGGCCGTAAACTACCCACGAGTGATTCACGGACTTGGGATGAAAGGACATTTCTCCCGATGCCCCCCTGAGTGGTGGAGCGATAGGGCAGGTTGAGACCACCTAGGAGAAAGGTGGGCCTGGTCCCTGGTCGGTGTCCATGGTAATTTCTTAATAACACACTTAACGAGATTGGATATTTGATCTGAGCTGGCCGCTGGCCTTTTCGCCCTAACCGCCACTCAGGAACAGTTAGGCCACTCAGCGTCGTACGTTTTCTCCCGAATATTTTCAGACGTCATAGTTGAGCGGCATGCACTCATGTGGTCCGCGTAAGCACCTGCCTTGTATAAGGAGGTAGCCAGGATTGATCCCGGCCGTCCTCGCAACGTGCAGGAGTGCAACGAGCGATGGGCCCAAGACACCTGGGCACTTAGTGAAGGAAATATGCCTTAGAGGCAATAATAAAGTTAATATTTATTTTCTTATTTCATGATAAATGTTTATTATTCATGCTAGAATTGTATTAATCAGAAACTTAGTACATGTGTAAATATATAGACAAACAGAGTGTCACTAGTATGGAGAATGACGTTTTGGTGGCCGAGCTGCCTGCAGGCCGCTATCTCCGGCCGTGCAGTATAGCGCCGCGACGTGTGCTCGTCTTTTTTCCTCGTGCATATACGTTAGCTGTTAAGTTGAAATACATGTGTGCCATGCACTCGTGTGCTAGCTTTGTACGTGGGCCGCGGGTGCGTGCGGGGTACGCAAGCACGTTGTGAGCATGATGGGCTGATTTAAAAGTAGCACACCATGCAAAAAAATTGATTTAGATATTAATTCTGGGCCCGTCTGGCGCTGCAGGCTAGCTTAACCCCAGAAGCGCTGCTTTTTCTTCCCTAGTCAGACGATTCATCCCCTTCCCCCGTGGCAGCTGTGCGGAGCGACGATTCGCCATGGATGGACTCAAGTTCTTCTTTGAAGAAGCAAAATCAGGGTGAGAACCAATCTGCCCGTGTAAGTTCTCTTGCTCTTACTTTTTCTGAAATGAGATCTATCTTGACCTGGTATTCTGCTCCTTGATTTCGCAACGATTTGTTTTTTAGTTCTTCTCTCTTTGTTGGATGGATCTGGCTAAGTGATAATCGTGTGTGTGCTCCAGGTTGGTTCCTAGGCTAGATGCGGGTGATATTTTGGGCGGCGGAATCGATGTTGTCGAATCCGTGATTGTTTCCATCTATGAAGCTCGTGGGCGCTTCGTTGAAGTGCTTTCTTCTGAACCCATGGACAGCAGCAGCGTCAAAGACCAGTTCAAAAGGCTCCTGCTGGACTCGATGGTAACGAACGGACACCCATTGGTCATTTCTTTTCTGTTAGCCGAATGATTCTAGCTTATTGTAATTGCCTGTAAAACGAAAACAAGCGCATGGAAGAGTTCGCCCGGGGGGAACGAGATTTTTTTGCCGTTTTATAGCCAATTTTTAGCTAGCTTGAAACACAGATTTTTCAATAGGGTGTCATCACTGTAGGCAATAAAAAAAAAACAATGATTCAACTTTATCTTTTTCAGAATTACCATGTTTACGTCCGGCTGAACCAGTAGAAAATACAGTTAACACCCTTTTTTGAGAACTACAGTATTAGGGTTGGCAAGGCGTTAGAGGAGAGGGATGCCAACCCAAGCAGGGTCCCTGCCCTTGAGGCTTCAATGCGAGCTTACGCAGACAACAAGGCTGGCATTGTTGTTAATCTGGCACTCGGTACTAGCTTTGACACAGTTGAGGAAGCGTATGAGTTTTACAACCTATACTCCTCAGAGATGGGCTTTGGCGTGAGGTATGCCAAGAGCAGGTTGAACGTCCATCGGACATGTATGCAGGAGTTCATGTGCGCATGTGCGGTGAGGGTGATTCATTAATTCAGAAAAGAAAAATGCTTCCTGTGCACGTACCTTTTCGTGTTATGTTCTCATATGTTGTTCTGGGAAAGACACAGGGCAAGCCATTGCAATCCAACAGCCGATCCACAAGGTGTGGATGCGCTGCGTTGATGCGGGTGCTTAGATCTGAATATGAGGGATGGTACATATGCGAACACAAAACAGAGCACAACCATGCGCTCTCAGTTAACTGTATGGAGAAGCTACACTGGAAATCACACTGGCACATAGATAGATATAACAGAGACTTGGTGAAACAGCTAAGAGAAAACAATATAAGCCCGAGCAAGGTTTACAGCGTGGTAGGCCGTTTTTCTGGATCTGTGAAGGAGGTACCATTCACAAAGAGATCTCTGAAAACTCTTTGTGGAAAACTTAACAGAGAGCAATCAGAAAATTATGCCATGGAAACAATAGAGGTGTTCAACGCAATGCGGGCTAAAGATCCTGAGTTTAAATACAATCTGTAGGTTGATCAAGATGGCCGAGTTAAGACTTTGACGTGGACACAGGGAGAAGCACTGAGCAGTTTAAGTGTTTTGGCGATGCTGTCACTTTTGATACCACATACAAAACTAATCTTTATGGCATGCCGTTTGGTCTTTTTTTTGGTGTCAACAATCACTTCGAAAGCATTATTTTTGGTGGTGTGCTGATGAGAGATGAGAAAATCGACACTTTCAAGTGGATTTTCACAGAGTTCTTCCAGATGATAGGGGCTCCACAACCATGGACAATGCTCACAGGTATTACAAAAATGTTCCTGTTTTAGTTGCCATTGTTGATCCTCTATGTAAGCACGTCGGGAATGTTTTCCCCCCTGGTATCTGTTGACAATAAACTGTTTGGTTTCAGACCAAGCTCGTGCAATGTACGTTGCCATAGAATATGCCATGCCAGGTACAACAGATTGATGGTACAAATGTCATGTGATGAAGAAAGCAAAAGAGTATCTTGGGCCACTGCTAGGCAAGGGCAGTGAGTACAAACAGGAGTTCAACAAGATGGTGCAGCATATGGTTAGCGAGAAAGAATTCGAGGATGTTTGGGTGTGTATGGTTGATGAGCATGATCTACAAAAAACACAGTTCTCACCCAAATATATGAGACCCGGAGGAAGTGGGTTAAACCTTACTTCATGGGTGTTTTTTGTGCCAAGATGACCAACACACAGCGGAGTGAAAGTGCAAACCATTTGCTCAAAGTACCTTTTTGTTAGGCAATATGAGAAGATGCAATTTGATAGAGATTCAGAGGAGAGTTGTCAGGAGAAGAGGACCAAACTGGTAATAATAACAAACTTTATGTATTGTCCCATGAGCATTTTATCTTATCATAAATTATGTCCCCAATGGCATGCGAAATGACATATCTTCACATGCTATGTCCCTGCCCGTTGGCGGTGTTGTGCTGGCTCGGAACCTACCTATTGAGATACATGCATAAAAAATTTACATGAGGGCTATGTTTGAAAATTTTGGCGAGATGTTATATGAGGGTGGGTCATATGTTTTGATTGAAGTTGTGCCTCATCGTGAATACATAGCCAGGCATGTAAAGAAAGATTCCAGGGACAAATGGTGCAAAAATGAATACATCGTCCAGGTCAATGAGCTTGCTGACAAATTCAAATGTGAATGCGGGATGTTTGAACATTTCGGCATGGTGTGCAACCATGCACTAAAGGTGTGGGTCTTTTTTTCTCTTTTTGTTGTTGCTCTGTTATACCCCCTCAGTACAAAGTTAGTACAAAACTGAGTCACTTATTTTGGGACGGAGGGAGTACATGTTAAGCAAATTATTACACGTCCACAGAGGGGCCAAGGGCACAAGAGCACTACATGTCCACAGCGGGGTGATCTTCCAAAGGCGCCGAGGAAGTCGCCTTGCAGCTCCAGGTGCATCCTGACAGGCCACAGGAGGACCACCTGCACCAACACGCCCAAGGCAGATTTCTACGGTCAGATTTATTTGGCTTTTATGCTTGAAATATGAGTAAGTGTGTCTATGTGACTGTCAGACTGCTAGTAACAATTCCAGATATTTGTGAATCTCTATCTTTGTATCCGTAGTATCATTGTTGTACGGGGATTCTCTACTCCTAATGGAGCAGTTGGTAGTCTCGCTTTCAGGTTTTTTTTCGTCCCATCACTTTCGTCCGATTTTTTTCCGTAGGTTAACCGTCGTAGATTTTTTCGCCGCCTCCCCCACTTCATCGGTTTATTTTCACTTCACCCTCTCACACAACGAAAAAAACTGAACGGATCAGAACTTTCCATACTGATGCAAATTATTTAGTAATGTCTTTATGTAAAAGAATCAATCACAATCAATCTCTAAAGATCAAATCTAAATTAATTAATCTTCATAATGTTTGTTTCCTTTCGAATCACGTCCATAACTTTCCTTCCTTGTTTGGGCAGAAACTGTTTGGTAGCAGAGATTAGGAAGCTTCCTATGAGTGTAGTAATAGGAAGTATTCTTTTTCTTGATGATTCGTTTCCATGCATGATGATAGTAAATTAGGCCAACATTCACCATTATTTATCAACGTCATCAATCGTATCCATTCCTACCAGTTTCCATGCTCGCTATGTCTTTTTTAAGGGGATCCGCTCGCTAAGTCGTCGTCACACGTTATTTTCACAAACAATCTCTACTCCTAATGGAGCAGTTGGTAGCCTCGTACGGTTTATTTTTGTCCTCCTCCCACCTCCACTGGTTCTTTTTCTCTCCACTCTTTCTTTGCAAACCAATAATTTCCTAACATACAAAAGATCACGAATCTATCTTTCCTTACCCGAACCAATCGCGCCCTACATCAGTGCATTTCTTTATTAAGAAAACTAACACGTAAATCTTAACGCATTGTAAACAAATCCCGTTATGGACCTAATTAATTTATTATAGAATCTATACGTGGTCGCATTGGTTCTTTTTCTCTCCACTCTTTCCTTGCAAACCACTAATTTCCTAACATATAAAAGATCAGAATCTATCTTTCCTTACCCGAATCAATCGATCCCTACATCAGTGCATTTTTTTATTAAGAAAACTAACACGTAAATCTTAACGCATTGTAAAGAATTCCCATTAGGGACCTAATTAATTTATTATGGAATCTGTACGTGATCGCATCTCTCCCCTCGTGAAAAAATCGCATACATCTCCCGTTAAAAAGGAAAAGAGAACATGAACGATCAATCCCACACCGTGCATCTCAGTAGCAAAAAATCGCCCCCGCCTCTGCTACTGCGCCTCGCCGTGTGCCCGGCTCGACCCATGCCTCGCCTGCATGGCTGGACGCCGCCGTCTCCACCGCCACGTACAAGAAAATGGTGGGCAGAACCATCCATTCAAATCGCACACCCCCACCCTCCTTCGTAATCCCTAGCCCCGCATCACCCTATCGCTTTCTCGCCTCTCTTTCCCCTCGATGTAGATGGTGCCGAGCGGCGGCCTCGAGCACCGGCAGTGCCGCCCTCTCTATCTTCGCTGCGTCGAGAGATGGGCCGAGGCTATCATCGGTTCGCCGCCCACGATTGGGCCGCCTCCGGTTGTCGCGCACCACCGGCTCCACCTAACGTGCCCGACCCTCTCCGCTTTCGACCTTCCGGCGACCACATCCCTCCGCGCCTTCATCCATCATCCACAAGGCCACTCCCTGCACCCACCCTCCTAAATTCTTCATACCGGCGGACAATCACCGAAGATCCAAGTTGGCCCGATATCAATTTTCTTACATGCTTTCTTTATCAGTTGGTGATGGGAATGGGTTCCAATTTCTCTCTCTGACTGTGGATTCGCAGGCAATAAGCGCTTCTACATGCATCCTCATGTCGGTCTCTAAAGTACCAAGGTAAATGGTTGATGTTGCGTTTGACTAGGATAATATATGTTGGCTCTGTTCCGGTCAGGGACGAAGCTCTAGTATGGACGCTGGGGTCAATTGACCCCAGTGCCTTCCAGTATTTGAAGCTAACTACGTCCATCAAACTGCGTCTGACCCCAGCCTAAAAAATTACTTGACCCCAGCCCAGCAGCTAATTCCAATTATTCATAGTCTCAGCCCATAACATCCATAAATTTTACTTAAATTCTAGTAAAAGATAAAAAAAAACTATCATGGCGTACAACTCTACACAGCGCCAGCACACAAGACCTTTGGCCCAATGCTTAAGACGTGGCTTAGGCTTACACACGTACACGTTGACGTTTGGTCTCCAATTTGTGTAAATATACGCGAAGTCATGAACAACCGACACATGCCTCTTCGTCTCTTCGCCATCGTCAGTTTGCCTCTCCGTCTCATTGCATTCGCCTATTCTTTTCCTCACCCCAACTCTTCATCCCTAATTCCCAATTTCCACCCGCGATCCCTAATCTCCAAGGGTGACGCCGGCCGGCCGCCGCCGCCGCATAATCTTTAATCTCCCGAGTGTTAGTTGCCCACATGGCACTTGCCCTCCTCGTCGGCAATTCTCAGGCAGGTATGCTAATCTCTTTCTCAGTTTCTCTTGGTCTCACGCACTAACAACTCATTCCCTCCGGATTATTGAGAGTTGGTACAAACATTGAATAGTGGGGCTAAAGCCATAGATTGTAAACGATAGTCCTATTATGCAATGGCATTATCTGAGATTTCAAAATTTATGAGTTGCTCATGTCGATTGTAGGCTTAACTACATGTATTTGCAGGCGCCAGCTGCCTCCAGGAATTCTGATGTGCGATGGCAATGGTTTGGCCGCAACCGTGGCGGTGATGGCAACCTCAACCTCGGTTCTGGTGAGTCCTTGTTCTCCTCCATCTCTCCTTGTGCCTTGAGATGATCTGGATATCTAGTCATGGCTGATTGTGGTGCTGGCCATCAAGCCGATGATTTGGGGTTTGGTTGTGGTCATCCTGTATGTGGTGGTGGTCTTCCGGCCACTAGTCTTTTGATTGCGATGATCTTGTCATCGAAATTGGTCCCTGTGCT